GGCTTTTTCATTTTTTATACAAACCAAGAGCTACAGGATCCTTCTGAAGTTCTTGAAAAGTTTGCAGTAAAGCAATATAATTTTCATAAGCACTTGTCACACTTTTATCTAAGGACAACCATCTTGTGGCACATGCTTTCTTAACTTTTTTGCCAAGATACTTTTTACATTTTTATGAAAATACTGTATGTGATAAATTACTTTGAATATTAGTTCTCTTTGGAGAATTTTCAAAAAACTTCCATGCCTGAGTCAGAGTAGTTGCAACTTCTTTAATGTATCCTATCTCCTTTTCAGTGTCTACACAAGCCAAGGCAAGTTTGTGACAGATACAATGAAAACTGAGAATTAATTTATTCAGCCTACGTAATCTTGCAGCCACCCCATTTTGCTTGCCAGTCATAACTGCAGCACCATCACTAACAAATGACTTCAAATTTAATATCAATAAGCTGCATTCTTCTAGAACGTGAACTATTTTATTTGTCAAAACTTCAGCATTTGCACCATCAGATTTAAAAATAGTAGTCATAGCCAAGAAATCAGTTTTTGCTTCACAAAGTTCTCCAAAGTATTTAACAAATATAATCATTTGTTCCATTACTGCTACATCGGTTGATTCATCTGCAAGCAATCCAAATGCATTAACATTCTGAAGCCTATCCAAAATCAGTTCCCTTATAGTTTCTTCAATGGTGATAAGTATCTCCCTAACTGAACGTCTACTCCTGTGCTCAAAATATTTTAGTTCATCCACACCAGAGGCTTCCAATAGCTCAATTAAACCGCGGGTCTGGGTGTATAAAAGGAAAGATGGCCGCCACTTTTCAGTATGCAAATGACACTCAAGCGTGAAACATCTCTTCGGGGTGCTCCGCAAAATCACTCTTTTCGGCAATCTTAACGCCTGTGGTGCTTTATTTTCATGTCGTACACAAACATGAATATGTCCGCGATACAACTGCGATGTTAATTTACGAGTTCGGTGCGATATCAGTGTGATTTCCGCGTAAAAGCGACGGAAAAGCATGATTCAAACAGTCGTTTTGACTGC